CCTATTTTGTGTGAGCAACTTGTTTGCATTTATTTGAGCATTTTAAGCATTGCAAATTCCTCATATGCTGCTAATCGTTTATTGCTAAGCTCTGCGTTTTAGTAGAGTACTCAAAGCAGCACACAAAGCAGTTTAGATGCAGCAATTTGCATCCTGCATGCATGGACTTTGTGAAGTCATTGACTGGACACACATGTCTGGTTGTCCATGTGACTTCATACATGTGCGTGATAAGAAAGGCCGGCTTCGGCATGGTGGCAGAAACGGGGCTCCTTCTTTTAATGGGATTCGCGTTTCCGTGCTTTCTGTCTGTGTAAGTTATGATGTGGCTAATGTTTAAAACATGCTCTGCAGATGCAGCATAACCCTCTTAAATAAATGACTGCATCACCAAAAGAGGGAGTCATTTTGGGATTAGCTTTACCGAGTGCAAAATGCTCTGTAGTCTCTGTGAGTCACCCAGGCTGGTTAACAAGGAATGCAAAACGCCTCACAAATGCATTTAGGATCACCTTATTGTCATTTAGGATTGTTTTTTTTTTTTTTTTTTTTGTAGAGGGTAAACAAATTAAAATATTTCTTTTAAAAAGTACTTTTTGTGGAACTCGTACTGTTTTTAATTTCAGAAGTATATTTTTTATACAAGTACAGCTTTGCTCTGTTAACTGTTTTAGAAAGATGTCGCCTCTGTTAACGTTCTGGAAAACGGAAGTACATTCACAGACTAGTGGAAGCTAATTTGCATTTTTTACAAAAATGCTGATTTATCGAATCAGCTGACATACGATTGTTTTTTACAAGTATAAATTGTTTCATTTGACTAAAAAAACAGAGCGTTTTTAAATATCTTTGCACCTCTCTGAGGATTTTGTTTCTTTACGACTACCTCACTGAGAGACGACATCTTCCTACTTAGTACATGACGGTAATTTTTAGAAGCTCACTGCAAATAATCAAAACTAACACCTTCTTGGAAAAAACTTCCAGGAAAACCAATCAGCTTTACGTACATTGAACCTGCTGAGGCCCCGCTCACCCCAGATTCCAACCATCCTCCAGGACCTCTATCGTTGTCTGAACAATCCTCGATTGTGGCAAATTTATGGAGCTCCATTTGAGTGTGAGGACAAAGCATGATCCTAGTCAGTATTCAGAATTCCTATTTATTTTCCTGGCCACCACTGGCATCACATCTGCATGAAAACCTTTTCATGCAGTCTATTCTATTCTTGCATATTTGTATTTTTACCAGCTCTTTATTAGGTTTTCAGCAGCACAAGGAGAACACGCCGTGCCATTAATTTTATCCCGCTCAGTGTGCATACTGAAAAGAGTAGTCCGAATTATGAACACAAAAGCCCTATCTACGTGCTGATCACTTAGAGCTGATCTCACCACGCCTGGAGTTCTGTTGTTTTGAGGCTTGCTCCAATTTCTGCATAATTCTAAAACCTGGAAGCCACTGCTTGTGCTTTTTTTCCTTTCTTCCTCCCTGTAATTTTCTTCCGTTCTCATCACTAAACATCAGCTCTGGATTTCTTGGTGACAGCATGTCAAATTTTTTTGCGTTTGTGTTGCAGCTTGAAAAACCCAGAGATGAAATTATTTTCAATTTGGAATAGTTTCCTTCCTATTGGAAACCCTATGCCATGTGGAGCTTTTGTTTTGTTTTTTTTAGAGATAGATTTTCATTTTAGCATCAGTCGGCACGACCAATCAAGACACTGCAATAATAAAACACAGAGATCACATTTTCTTCATGCCTTAAACGGGCATTCCTGCTACAAGGAGAGCAATACATTTTCGATGCACTTTAAAATAATACTTCATATGTAGCTCATCCTTGTAGCTCATCCTTGTTCTATCCCAGTCAGCCTGGTATGAAGGGCTTATGGTGAACATGTTTAGTGTATACCAAGCAGAAGTCTTTTCACACAAACTTTTTTTTTCAATAAGAACCCTCCTGCCCTTTTGTTTCAATTATTTTCTGAATAAATGCTGTAAAGCTTAACACGAAAACTTGAAATTGGTGCCATTTTATACGCGAGCTCCTCTTGTTGATGTGTCATATATTTTTAGATCGGTCAATCAATCATTCATGTTGACATTTCCTTTGATCTGTTGCCTTTGTGTGCATATTTAGCAACACAAACAGCATCCTCAGTTGTGTGTGTGATTGCCTTTCTCTGAAGTTACAGTTTTAGTCTTTTGAAAGTGTGACTGTTTGCGTGTGCATGCGTGTGTGTGTGTGTGTGTGTGTGTGTGTGTGTGTGTGTGTGTGTGTGTGTGTGTGTGTGTGTGTGTGTGTGTGTGTGTGTGTGTGTGTGTGTGTGTGTGTGTGTGTGTGTCAAAGCTGCCGTGAACGTGCGCGTGTGTCTATCTGCGCATGTGTTGAGACAAGTGCCGTGCTCGCTCGGCAGTGTGTGAAAGGAGTTCGCGTGCTGCTAACAGCAGCTGCTAACCCGCGTCACGAGCGCCTGATGAATCACACTGCGGCGTCCATGGATACACAGATGCACCAAATATACGTGCACACATGCACTCTGGAGACTGTGGACTTTCAAAACTCTCAAAGAAATTTTTCCAACCCTCCAACTCCCTTTTGCTTGATCTAAACTTCCAGTCTTGTGGTAACTGGGACCTGAGGCCTGCCTCTGAAGTCTCTATGAATGCACCAGTAGGAAATGACATTTCGTTCACATGAATGAGCCCCCCTTCTCTCCTTTTGCTGCTTTCATGCCACGGCATTATCCATGGTTTTCTGCATTGCCTCACTCCTCCCCCACATGGTCCACCTGCCTGACTTCATCTTTTCCATCACAGTTGCTGAGGTTTCTCAGATTGCCTTAAGTGCCTGCAGCTTCCTGCCAGTCTAACTGCACTGGCTGCACACTAGGAGACGAGCAGCATGTCCGGTTAATGGCTACAAGTAGATTTGAAACAGAATCGCATTGTATTGACGTTCAAGTGCCGTAATAAATGAAATATGCATCTTACTGTCATCTTATCTGTTCTCAGAAGCTGTTCATCCTTGGCAGCCGTCCGCGGCGCTCCTCTGTGTGTGCTTTAGCATTGTTTGCTGAAGCAAATTGCAAGTGGGTTTTACACATTCACATGCAGCTGTTGGCATACAGAATATCTAAGTGGAGGTTGATGGATTAGTATTTGAATGAGAACATGTGTTTGTTTATCGCTTTAACACTACAACCATGCAATTCGAGGCTGCAAATAATGCACAACAAGCATTTTGTACACAGTATTTGTCTCTCTGAGTGGAGACAAATACTCAGAAGGTTTGGTCTGAGTATTTGTGAGGTGGACCATCAGCCTCTATAGTGGTTTAATTGAGAGGTAGCCACAGAAAATATCTGTATATTTTTTGTAACTGCAAATTGAGGAATGTTTTGACTCGTAATGTAATAACGGCTTGGATGAGGTGGGGTGATTCTGGGACAGTTTGATTTGCGGACGTGAGGGACGTGTAGAGGACATTTATCAACAGGACACAATGCTCATTTTTTGATTGCTGAAATTAATGGGAGCTCATTTGCTTTCTCTGCAGAATCCTTTACAAAGCTTTTTGTTGTGTTAATTAAGCCAGAGCACCCAGTCTGCATGCCTCTTGCGTACTAAACCATAAAGGGGAGAGGAAGAAAGTTGTTATTCTCGTTTCTTGTGCCTCTGAGGCATTGTAGATTGCATTTTAGGATTTGCACCAAAGATTAGGTACCTAAATGTATATTTGCTAAAATTAGTTTTTTCCGTTCTTAGAGAAAAAAAAAAGAGCAAACCTCCTGAGTAATTTCTCTGCGAGTTGGACTGCTGCCATCAGCCTCTGTTTTGTTTTGGCAGAGAGGAGATTTCTTGAAACAAGCTGCTGAATTTGTCAGATGATAAATGTGGGGGAGAATTAAGTCTGGACTTTGCTTTGCTGAAGGTGGAGACTGTCTGTTCTCATGAGATTTTGTCAAAAAATAAAAAATAAATAAAAGACTTCTGAGAAAACGTGTTGCTCCACTGGTCCGGGGGAAGTGTTGTGCTGCTTTTTCTCGAAGCGGGGAGAAATATTTTTCTGTCTGTTCATCAATCCAAATGAATGAGTGACAGAAAAAGACCCTAAAAAGATGCCCCAGATTTTTTAGATTCATTCTTTTATTCAGATTTTAAGTAACCTGGGTTTTTTTTCAACTTGTATGAGAGGTAAAAGAGAAAACCAAGATTATTTGATAAATCTTGAAGTTTTGAATCCAACAAAAAAGAAAAGACATGACTAGATTACCCTTGATCATGCATCAAAATATTACATATATTTATCAGACCTTCATGAAACCCAAAAAAGTGCTTTGAAAGAGCAGATCTCTTTGGTCAAACCAGTTATTGACTACAGGAAAAGAAAAATGATTTTCATTACTTTACCAGCCAAGTACTAATTTAAGCCAATCATAGGAAAATTGTATCATAGGAGCCCAATCCTGCCTGACTGATCGAAAATGTTGTACTGTTCTTCATTTACAATTTAGCTTTTTGTTGGTTTCAGTGCTATGAAACATCAAATGACTGCTTCTTGTACTGTGATGCCTCCCACCGGTGCAGACAGTACAGCCCTCATTAATCAGCCAAATCAGTCTCAGATCAGACGGCGCTCCAGAGGCTGATAGGTCTTGTTTCAGCGTTTGGGGGTTTTATTCTGAAATCCAAAATCTTATGACACAGCACAGAACCGTCTCTCACTTCCTCCAAAGAACATTCGCCGCCCTTTTCCGTGTTCTGCTTAGCATCATTTTCTTTTCCACAGCAGGTTTGTTTATCCTGCTGGAGTTTTGGATGTGTCTTTGGGTGACTGGTTCCCCCACAGTGTTTGAAAAAATCTGATAATAAAAAGCATTTTTATGATCAGATTAAACCATTGATTTTGTTTTTTGTTGCTTTATTAAAAAAATATTCTCTTAAGTCTTTGTAATGATTATTTTTCTGCTTCCTTGTGTGTTTCTTCTCCAAAGGATGCAAAGCTGCGTGAATTGCTGGATGTCAGCACACTGCCAGGAAAGCTGGAGAACAGGATGCTGACTGTGGTTAGCGGCACTGACATGGTCAACATCACCTACCTGAACTTCATGGCCTTTCAAGAGGAGATCGCCAAGGTTGCCATTTTTAAATTAAACAAGTGACTAAACAGCAAAAATGTGATTGAAATATACTGACACGATGTGTTGTTGCTTTACTTTCTACAGGAATGGGCTGAGGAATTATTCAGCCTGGCGTCTAACCTTTTGGCACAGAACATGTCCAGAGAGGCCTGCCTTGAGAAAGCGTATGTCATTTGAACCCATAAGCATGCCTCAGAGAAAATGTAAAAGCTTGTGTCTCCCAATACGGAGATGAAAATTAGATTTTCTGGTGCCACAAAGATGCCAGACATTTCTAATGCCACTGACATTATGAGCTGTGCAGTGGAGAAAAGTAACTGGTATTTACGCAATCTTTGTAAAATGCCATGTAAAAGCTTTCATGTCAATTGAACGTTTGCATGTTTTGTTCTTCTACAGCCACACATTTCAATGTTTTTCATAATATTTTCCTTCAGGTGACAGACACATACGATTTATTGTACAATTCTGAAGTGGAAGGAAAGAGAAGCATCATTTTCAAAACAATTTTCTAATAAAAATCTGGAAATTGTGGCATGTATTTGTAAACGATACTTTGGCTTAGCGAGGCAGCAAACTGTAACCACAGAGCTTCGTCTTAACCACCTTTCCTGTGTCCTTCATACCGCTTGTGGCTAAGAGGAAATCGAACTTCTTGAAGCTTTCTTTCAACAACAGACTTCTTCTTGAGCTCTTTAATAAGAGCTCATTGAGTTTATTGATGAAAAAATGATTTAATTTACATTATTTTTCTATCTCTGGTGTCTTCTTTATTCTCATACCTTATTAATAGTTATCCTCTCCAAGCATTGTCTACATTACATCACAGAAATGATTTATGCAGCATGACTCTGGTTATGGTTTTTTTTTTTATGTTAAAACTTCTGAAAGTTATGCATCACATAGTCACCAGAAAGGAAGACGTTAGTGAAACACCATGTGCAAAAAATACACACAACAAATATGGCGGTGCATCTGGGTTTTAGTTTGAAGTTGCAATGGATAGAAAAATAACCACTTGACCTTGTAAATGTGTGTGCCTCCGGTTCGACAGACTCATAATCAGTTATCCCCACACCGACCGATGTTTGCGGAATATTTGTGTCAAACGGCTCACTACATCACGGTCGTCCCTGCGAGACACACACACGCGCGCGCAGGCTGATTTATGTGCACGGTGCGAGACTGAGCGATGTTCATGCAAAGTGAGCTTAGACATAAATGTGAGACACAGCTTTTAGTGAAATACCTAGAGCTGTGTTTGGTGACATCTCCCTGCTGTCTGATGTTTATCAGCGCATGGAAGCCATTAACTGGCACCCCTGAGGAGGCTAATTGACTTATGAGACAATAAAAGTGGCCATCGACCACATAGCATGGAGAGGGTTGAACAAAATTGAAGAGAGCGGCTTTTGCAGTCACGATGGCTGCTCACAGCAGCAGCTGTTGTGCACTGCTTGCTTACAAATCGGGCAATAGTTTTTACTCCCACTCCATCAGCATGTGAAGGCTTTATTCCTGAAATGATGTTGTTTCTCTGCATGCGGTCAATTCTCTCCAGCTCTCAAGGTTGTGAGAGGTTGGGTTTTTTTTTAATAGTAGAAGTAAGACATGTTACAAGCAGCAGGAAACTGCGGGATCCAGCAGATGAATGTTTTCTTCAATTTTCTTTGTGCTCTATACAGCAAAAGAGAATGATTTAATCACATCACAAACGGCATGTTTGACTATAGGATCACGTCTGATGAAACCATATTTTGAAGCTGGAACTATAGAAATATAAATATTTTCCTCCTGTTTCATTAGTTGTCTCTGTTGTTTCTCCTCCTATGCCAGCCATTTCTAGCTGTTTGGATAAAGTTTATTCTCAATTGATGTTTTTATTCCTGTTTTTATCTAGAAAAAATGCTTGAGAAAACAAGTCTGTCCCTTATTAACCATTAAAGGCATCAGTGAGTTTCCCTCAGGAAGCCAGTCTGCCCTAAGAAGTGGACACTATAATGGATATTAATTATTAGCCAGCATCCACTTAAAGTCCGACCTGTAATGTTAGCTCCTGTTGCAGCTGAGCTATTTATAGCCCAGGTATCTCTGCCCGTGCGGCCGCTGCTGCCGCACAGCTCTGCACTGCCGACTCTTGAGACTTCCAGGAATTAACCGCATTTCAAACCTGCAGTGTAAACATAGGCAGACATTCATGGCATGCAAAGTGCACTCACTGGGGGTTGTGCTGATGGAAGAATTTGTGTTTGTAGAGTATATTTTTTTGACGTGTTTTTTATTTATTTTTTTTGTATCTTTTTGAATACCGTTTTGAATTGCACTGCTTGTGGTTGCAGCATGTTTCATTAGAACCTATGTTTTTCTCTTTGTATGGTTTTGGATGCTGTCCAAATGGACGCAGACCAGAGGAGAGAGAGAAGGAGGAAGATCAAATTGTCACTTCTGTCAATCATAAGGGTTAAGGATCCTAACCTCGACTCCAACGTCTCTCTGCCTTGCTTTCTAACCACGCGGCCAGACTAAGATTTAAAGAGGTGTTTAAAACCCAGGACATGTTACTGTGGAATATTGTCCAATCAACTGTGGTCAGTATGAAAGAATTTATCACACGGCACAATGAAGAAGATTCTTTGGTCAGATTGGGCCAAAATGTAACAACTATATCTGATGTAAAGCTCCACTGCACATCAAGGTGTCAAATACTTGGTGACAAAACAAGCACACACTGAAAGACAGAACACTAGTGCAGAAATTTCGCGCAGAGAAACTGCTTTTGCATCTGGTTTTGAAACGTGTTCTCTGTCCATTGCAGATACATTCGACTGAAGCTGCAGCTCAACCCGGAGGGACGAATTCCTGTCAAGAAGTAAGTCTTTCTGACTCATCCTTCTCTCCCGTGGCACCTTTTAGCTCTTTTGATCAGTGCACACTGTAGCTCGCTCTGCCTCTACTCTTTACTCTGGGCATTAGTGCACTTCAACATCCACAGCCTTTCTGTGGATGTCTCCATATATAGGACTATATTATCCCTATCCACTCCGTTCTGGTATTTTAACACAACTCCTATTATCTTCTAGATTGTGGGTTTAACACAACCACAATTTTGGGTGTGTGAAACAAATCCTTTTGTGTATGTCCGGTTAGAGAGCTCTAGTTTCGTTTCGTCTGTCACTTTGTCATCAGCTCGTTGAAAAACGAACTCCCTCCATTGCCATTACTCAAGTCGAGCTCTCGGGCAGCAACAGTGAACTTCTGTGATAACCTCCCTCAGAGCCACCAGTGAAAGCGGTGGGTGTCAAAACACAGAGCCAGCGACACACTCCTCACCGTTTAGGGAATTAACCTCCTGGCTGGGGAGGCATGTCTGCTTGAGTAATGTCAGTTTGACAGCGCTCTCCCACTGAGCATACAGCATGTCCTCATAGATCTGCACAGGCATACATCAGCCAATGAATAAAACACACTATGGCATGTGAAAACATGTCTAAACAATCATGGCCGGACTTGGATGCAGTAAATCGTATTTATTGTCTGTGTGAGAGAAACTGAAGACAAGAATTAAACACCCTTAATAAAAAAACTAATTCAGTCACAGATGGCTGATATGTGCTGTTTAAGAAAGGTGCTGCAGGTCCTTTGCGTATTTCAAGTTCGCTGAATTTAATTTACAGATAAAATTAGAATATTTTACACTTTATCAGAGCCATTCAAGCTGAAATTGGCTGATTCGAATCTTCGCCTGATTTCATTGTAGTGCGTTTGTATTGATTGGTTTTTCACTGGGATGTTTTGACAACAGCAACAATTATAAAGGAGGAGAAAAGCTAAAATATTCTGAATCTTTACCCAGGTTTATGTCAGCATGTCGTAGAAAAGGAGAATTATTTCTGCATGTTTATTAAGCTGAGATGTGTGCAATTCAAAATACCTAATATTGAAACAATAATTTCTTTAGTCTCCTGTTGTATTAAAGGCTCATTCAAAATGCTCACTTATTAGTTTATTTCTCATTATTGGTGTTCCAACTTGGTCACTGCACTATTGTACCATAATAAACTTAAAATGCTTATTAAACGTTTTAAGTCTTTGTTCACATTTGCTCAGAATTTGACTGTAAGACAATGTATAATTCACGAGATCTTGAATTGAAATGGCAATAGTCTTCAGTCTGCTATTTGTGCTAAAGATCTACTAAATACCTTTTAAAGAGCAGTTTGGTGAAACGTCTCTTACGCTTTAAAAACTGAATCAGTAATAAAAATAACAACTTTACTGCAAGGCTACACTCAGGAAAGCTCACAGCTTTCTTACTCTCCTTCCTCTCATATTCTTCTACATCTTCTTCTGCATTTTTTATTCAAGCGTTATCTGTGCCCCACTTTTTCGCCTCCAGTTTGCAGACTCTCATTGGAATTTTTATTTCTCTTTGCTTATTTTTATGTATTTATTGTTTTTTACCCTCTTGTGTTTTTTTGTTGTTTTTTTTTAACTGTGACTCATTCCTACAGTGGAAGCTCCCCGCAGGACAATAGGAGTCTCTTGAAGGATATCCTGAATGAGCATTGGTTGAAAGTGTTAGGATTTGACATGCAGATGATCAGAGGAAGCTTCTCTGTCAGAGTGACACTTTCTGTTTTTATTCATGAGAGGCTGTTTCTGTCTGCCTGCAGTATCTTCAGGATGTTCTCAGCAGACAGGAAGCGAGTGGAGACAGCACTGGAAAACTGCAACCTCCCTTCTGGCAGAGTAAGACTGCAAAATACACAAGTTTCCTTTTTCTTTTTCTTTTTTCCTGACTCCACGCATTTCTTCTGTCATATGAATCTGCGTCCTTACATGTTGCTTCTTCTCCCTTCCTGCCTGTTTGTAGCCGCACGTTCTTTAATCTTCTCCCCCTCGTCTATCGGACTGCCACTATTGAGCCCATTTTCTCCTGAAACAGTGGCCGATTGTTGCGTCGCTCATTTGTTTGGAGTCATACTTTCTGGATGGCTGCACGGCTCCCAACCCTAAACTGCTTCGCTCTTCGTTGTGATGCAACAAACGGACCCGGCGGGAGCAATAAAGACGACAAAAGCTGCTTTCTTTCCACCCGTTTTCAGACGTCGCACGACAAAAGCTGCCCTCTCATGCGAGCCGTCCCACAGCTCTCCGACGGTGGAGCAGCGAGCAATGTTCATGCCTGAGAGTGGCAAAATGCTGTTTAATGAAGCTCTGAACACACACCGAAACATATGGACACGCAGAGAGCAGACAACAAGGCTGTAATAATTGGCTTCTGAATGTGAACTGAAATAAAAGCACACACTGAGACACACCCACACACAAAACTCTATACATTATTAGCACAATGAACGGCATCAAGACGGGGGGTGGGGGAGTGTGTTGCTTTGTGCAGGTCTGCTGGGATTTGCTGTTATTCCACAGCGTAAGTAATTACAGCTAAATGGTATCGCTGTTAATTCCTCAAACACACAACTCCCCCGACAGGCAGGGGTGCGTTCACAACATGGTTCACACCAAGGTCTCCTGAATGACTCAGTGAGTTTTAGCAAGGCTTGACCTCCGCCCCCTCTCAGTGCATCTTCCCTCCTCTCCCACTCCTTCCTAATACCCTCTGGTTCTGCTCTGGTTCCTGTTGGCACGCCTGCCGCTGAGCGCACTCCATCTTTCTCAGACCTGCTCGGCTGTGATAGCTCGGTTAGGCGCCCGCTCTGTGGGTGCAAACTGGAAGCAGTTCTGTTCATGTTTTGGATTTTCAAAGCTGCGACCACGTGGAGATGAACCTCTAAAGAAAACTGAATGGATGAGTAAGAGATCGGTGTTTCCTGCAGACACATCAGGGACTTGGACGCGAGAGTTTTTTTCAAACAGTACAGTAAATAGCTGGCACATCCACACAGCATGACTCATATAGAATGTACTCATTAATTTGCGGAGGCGGTCGACAGTCGGGACACACAGGATTTGTTCTGTTTGACAGTTTTTCTTTATTACTCTATGGACTTCAAGCAACAAAAAAAAAAAACAATAATAAACCAGACATTACGTAGTAGATGTTAAAAAGATTTTAGTTGTGTGTGGCAGCCATTCTGGAAAGTTTCCAAGTACTTCCAAGTTCAGACATATTAATACAGAATTGGAACAAAATCTGGGAGTTTTCTAGCTTTTGTTTATATCACAAAACAAACACAGACTATTAAAGAAAAATGTTTTTCCATTCACATTACTTGACTGAGAAGAATTGACCGAAAGGTTCCTGCAGCCTGAAAATCCAAGAAAGACAATTTAAGATTTGTTTGTTCTCTTACCAACCCTGACCTAAAAATCCAACATGACTGAATTGGATATATACATTAAAGAGTACATTTCTAATACATTTGTATGAGTCACATCTCGTTTGTGGAGTTTCATCATGAAGGAGATATTAGTGTCTTTTAATAACTCATCTATTTACCCGTTACTACCTGTGGACCCCTGACTGTAATCAGGGATTTACCTATTTTTTTTCTGTGAAGCGTAAATTCAGATTATGTTTACAAAGCAGCCAATCCAGGAGCGTCATTCATTTTTCTTGCTCCTGACTGGCTGTGTAAATAATTCACTGAATGTTCAAACATGCTCGCCATTGCTACCATTAGATGCTGTCTAATGCCAATTGTTTCTTTGGCAGTGATAACAGGCGAAACTAAAACCTCTTCTACTATCACAAATGTAAACATGTGAACTGATTAGACTCTACTGGCACTTTTACTGAGTTTGTGTGTTTTAGTCAGATAAGAAAACAGATTAAAACAGTGGCCACAAACACATCAGGTGGATCAGGAGCAAAACAGAGAAAGAAAATGTGAAAAGCAGCTCCTGGCTGCTGTTGGTGATCTGTGATGCATGTTTCTTTTCCTAATGCCCAGAAAACCTGTTTTCTGTTTTTTTATGGCATCATGAATTCCTAGAAAACCCAGAGTCTTTTAAATGTAACATCTGCTGGCCTCTCTATGAAACCTATTCTTCTCAACCCCAGACCAATGCTATTTAGAGAAACTTGTGTGCTTTACTGAATTGTTAAAAAGAAAACATGCTTTTATTATTTGACAAAGAGCCTAATAGGGACGTGTTTTATTACATTGAACATTTAACAAAGAATAAAAATACAACTTTTACATTTTGTTTACAAAACAAACAACAAAAAGCATATATAGCAAAAAGCAAAGCAGTATTTATTTTAAAGTTAGTGGGCCTGAATTGAATACAGTTCTTTTAAAGTAGCCCACCTTCTGCCTGGTGTATAAAAGGTCATTCATGTGACCCCGCTGCTGCTGTCGTCTGCAGAACGACTCCGTCCCCCAGGAGGATTTCACTCCAGAGGTTTACAGCATGTTCCTGAGCAACATCTGCTCTCGACCAGAGCTGGACAACATCTTCTCTGAAGTGTAAGAACTTTGTTTCTAATTCACAGTTGAGAATAAATCTTTGTCAGTCGATACCGAAGGTTCAATTTACTCGTCCATGTTTGTAACATCTCAGTTTGTAAATACTGTTATGTTAAGGATGTGTTGCTATTGCTTTACACATTCTTTATAATTCAATATGAAGAAAAAATATTTTAACTTTGCTTATCTTAACTACAGTAAATGATCAAAAAAGCCTCAGGATGCAAAACAGGAAAACATCCAATAATAAATTTTCTGCCAATTATTCATTAGGCTTTGAAGGGCTTAATTCTGCATAAATGATCTTCTTACTATTCTTCCTACTCACTTCACTTTAGTAAGTGAATATCTTAAAGACATTTCTTTTTACCAATATTCATACATTAATAAAACATGTGTTTCATTATTTTACTAAACCAGTCCCAAACCAGAAGTGTCTTATAATTTAAGGCTTACTGTTAAGCTGTGGACCATGAATTGCCACTTGACCTTGAGTTAGTCAGAGCATGAGATGAGCCAGTATAACAGTGTCACTTAACCTAGGTTTTAATTACCACTATGAGTGAGGCGACAGGAGACAGAAGGATACAGGGAGCACAATTTACTGTCACACTTTTAGATATGAATAACAATTTTATCAAAATATAAGCCCCTTTTGTTTTTGCTATGATTACTCCTGCCCTTCATGATGTTCCCTTTTTTTCTTTGCTGACATATATATATATATATTGACATTTCTTGACTACCTCCTCTCCACAGCGGAGCAAAGAGCCGGCCGTACCTCACAGTGGAGCAGATGACAGAGTTCATTAACAGCAAGCAGCGAGACCCTCGTCTGAACGAGATCCTCTACCCTCCGCTCAAACCAGAGCAGGTTCAGCTGCTGGTGGACAAATATGAGCCCAACACGTTGCTTGCACAGAAAGGTCAGAGACACACACTTATTTAACTCCTTAACTGGTGGAATCCCAGATACTAATCTAGTTTGTTTGAATACTCTGCCTTTCTCGCCGCCAGGTAAGGGGATGAATCTCTTCTTAGTCTTCTTGTTGTCCGTGGTGTTCAACACCAAAATGTTATGGAGCAGTTCTCTTTGCATGCCTCATAATCACAGGGATTCACCAAAGGAAATCCTCATCACCAACATATTTCACCAGGTGCCCAAACCAATCAAAGTGAAGTCATGAAGGTAGAACTTCAGGTCATGATATCTATGACACAATAAATGTGATGCATTTCTTTAACCGATTAACAGCTTGAAGCTTAAACTGAATCAAAATATTATTTAATATTATTGTTATTTCAAATACTGCAGTAAATATGCCCTACTGAATTTAAAACTAAAGTTCTTCAAAGGGTTTTACTGCACAGATTTCACTAAACAACAATTTACTATTGTGCAGATTTTATGTTCAGGACATTGTCTTCTCAATTTCAACACATTATTTTTTTCATTTTTACACACATCAGTATTAACTGACAATTAAACGTGTTAACTTTAACACCCGAGGAGTTACTGGGACCTTTCTCGCTACTTCTCAATTCTCATTATTGATGGTATGAGACAAATGACTTAAGCCTCAGTGTTTGGACTTTTTTATGCTTCTGATGTCAAAACGCTGCTCTCAAACATCGTTATGTCTTACAGCATTTGAGGTGCTGATAAGACAACTTTAGTGCTGCGTTTCTCATTTTTGGAGGCTGGCAACTAGTGGGATGCTTGACGAAACATTAAAAAGCACACAGGCTTCATGAATAAATACGTTCAGAAAAAAAAAGTCTCATTTCAAAATTAATGAGAAAGACGAGCTTAAGGAGTGAAATGAAAACATCAGGAGCTGCAGAATGACTCATGTTGGGCCGGATGAGTGTCGAGGATCCAACATTCATGGACATGCTGTGCTTTCATGTCCTCTGAGGTGTCAGCGGACCAGTCGCTGCCAGAACTGGAGAACATCCCACCCCAGATATCAGGCAACAAGCTCGGATGTGTGCCAATTCAAATGTGATCTCTGCTGGAAAGTATGCTGCGTAACTGTGCCAAAACGAGGGACTTATTTTACACCATGTTCTGTTTATTGCCGAGCAAATCATTCCTACAATTTTTTTATTTATTTTTTTTGTCCTCTCCCATTTACATGGCTTTATTTGTTTTTAGTTATATTTAAAGAACAACATTTCTTCCATTAAAACACGGTGTTCCTGTTTTAGGACATAAAACATGCTAATCTGTCCAGAAGAGGCTGTTTATCTACAAATCTCTTCACCTTCCCATCATTATGCTAATCTGATGCGCATGTTCTCTTTCGGATTTCACTGAATATAAATTGGCCTTAATTGTCTGAGGCGGAAAATTGGGTGTGATTTTCATAATCTCTCCAGAGTAAAGAACCTACTTTACATTTATTCCAACATAATTGAGCATGGCTGAAACTACAGGAAATCCTTTTTTTAAAACTCCACTTGCATTTGTAGCTTCATTGCCCAGTTAGCGACTCTGATCGCAGTGATCCGCTCTTGCGCCGATGCTGTGTGCTCATCCTGTCCTGGGCTCTCTGGAAGCGTGCCCTTCCCCTTCCTCGTGACAGATTTCCCCTTGTGAAGTATTTATCTAGCCGGAGGAAGTGCAGCCATCTGCTCTGCACACGCGTCCAGAACTCCACATGTTACCTTCACGTTCACTCGCATGGACTCGTCCACATGGTTTTATCGCTCTTAAAGTCATTTTTAAACCGAACTGGCCTTTCTTTAATATATGTCATCAGCATTAGCAATATTGTGTAGCGGTGTGTGACCAGTATGGTTCCACTCGGTCCGACTACTGGAGCAGAATTTAGCTTTCAGTGAAGCATCAGGCCACAGTCCAGGAAATGAGCTTAAACTGTTGGACAAAAGATGTTGATAACGTATAAAACACAAAATCTCGAATTCCTTAAGCCACACAGAAAAACAAAACAATCATCCCCAAGTAATCTGGTTTACAAAAGAGGAAATCATTCTAGTCTCTTATGCAGAACCCAACAGGGTTTTTTTTTCAGGATTGTCAGGATTTACCTCCATCTATCAACTCTGACCAGTTTCACAGTCACTGCTCACAAAAAGCACCAGTTGATATGTTGGTTCACATCAACATTTCCTGTTTAGGTAAAAAAGTTTAGTTTTGATCTTATTCTGCCCAAAACTGCTTTTCCCACCCGAGATGTGGAAATTTTGCCGCTGCTTCCCATTTTCAGGGATCGGATCGAACAGTTCTCTGGGAGATTTTCAATGCTTGGATATTGTTTTATAACCTAAGGCCGTTTCGGCATTTCTCCAGATTTATCCCTGTGCTGTCTGGTGTTTTCCTTGGTCAAAGGACACACCCTCCACTTTTCACCTCTTTATTTATACTTCAGTTTTCCTGGATGCTTACAAGATCTTGTCAGATGTGTGGCTCATTGCAGATGATCTAAAACTAATAAATATGCTCTTGAATTTTGCATCCTTCATTCAGCTTTTCAGTTCTGTCATTATTTTGTACTTCTTCAGTTTATGCCGGCTTTAAAGCTATGATCAGAATGCTGAATATAATATGAGGAGACTCTGAAAGTATTATCCATTCACAGAGCATTTCTGGCCCATTGTCATATTTTCAGATGTTGAAAGATGAGTCTTTCAAGTCATTATTTCAGTCTGATAGCAGTATCCCTATCCACCCAGGTGTAGTTTCACCTTTCAGTCTCACCTTTGCTGTAACCCCAGTAGAGTCTCACTCTACTATAGATGTGATCCCAGCTATGTTAACATACTTTTCCACACTGTGGTCTACAAATGTCTTGAGAGCTGAGGAAACCCTTTGACTGGGACTGTCGGTGTGATGCAGGTCAGACCTGAGTCATGCACAGAGACGTCCCGACAGTCGACAGAGGAGCGCGACACCCAGTGCAACCGAGCTCAGATGTCACGCACAGCAGCCAGCGTTAATTAGCTCAGCAACTCTGCAGAGGGCGGTACCGCATTAATTAGCATAAAGTGGCCGGAGGGACCTGCTGCACCCATCAAACTCGCATTACTTAGCATATTTAGAATAACGTTATGGGAGAGTGAGTGTGTAGGTGGAGTCGGCATGTTGGCCATAGCGGTCGCTTTGAATTCAGCATTGATTCAGTGCAGGTTTTGTGTGTGAAGGTTGTGGTCATATAGCTGCAGATCACAGTCTTTCCAGTGGATGACAACAGCTTGTTGTCACTTAATCTCAGATTCACTTTTATGTACTTTTTTCAGCTCAGTGAAGAAAGAATCGTGTCATTGGCAGACTCTTTCTTTGCTTATATGTGACAGATCCTTGTATTACTTATAAGCTGTAACAATGTTTGTTAAAGTCAGTGGAGCTTGAAATACAGAGAGATACATTTATGTTCTGAGCTATGGCAACAGAAAGAGGCCATTTCCCACATTTGAGCAGGTGAACATCCTCCTAACATGTATGACTGGTGTCTAAGAACAGATGTGTTTGCCTTGCGAAAGCATTCATACCACTTGATTTTTTCTTTCATAATTTTTTTAAATAATTTTTTTACTTTCATGTCTCACTATAGATTTACTCCACTTGACCTGGATTACGTCATGTGGAGTTAATCTGAGCAGAGAAGCGTTTCCCACCTGAGATGTGCAGTTTGTGGTGGTTATGTGACAATTTTCTAAAAATGTATGAACAGAGTTTTTTACTCTGGGATCTATGACGTTATTTAGATGAAAGAGAGAAAATGATTGCATTATGTCGCCCTGGCTGCTTCAAACGTATTGTTTCCATGCAGGTCAGATCTCGATGGAGGGCTTTGCCCGATATCTGAACGGGGAAGAGAACAGCATCATTCCCCCAGAGAAGCTGGACCAGAGTGAAGACATGACCTTTCCACTCTCTCACTATTTCATCAACTCCTCACACAACACATACCTCACAGGTACGTGGGCAGAGATGCGAGTCAGAAAGTGAGACGTTCAATCGGTCTAATTGCACAGATGCATCCTTTATTCTTCTCCACAAATGAATCAGTCATGCAGTAAGCAGCAAAATTAAAGTGCCGCGAGCGAGAACGTTTAACTTTATACCTCGCAGGTCAGTCAATAAAATCTGGTGGTGCATCTAAAGCTTCCTTTCCCGTGTTGCTACTCAAGAGGTTATCCAATCAAGTCATAGCCTGAGACTCCTTTCATTGTCATTCATGAGTCAAATATTTCTGGTAGTCACAGTAGCTGCTTCTTGGCATCGTGCCACAGAGGCGTTTGCAATACAGGGGGCCATTTTCTCCTCAATGGATATTAGAATTAATCTATTCAAATCTATTCTGAGAGGAAACTGAAGTGCACTGACTCTTTCAAGTGAATCAGACCTCTTGAGCAGTGGAACAAAAATGGAATTGCTGTAATGCCCCAACCTCATAGGCCGCGAAATACAGAAATGAGAAAAACAAACAAGGGCTGTTTCGCTTTCTTCTCACGAACACAGCTTCCTTTACTTCTTTTCGAAGCGAAACAAGTTTTGCTGTTTTTAAGTGGGAGCCAGGAGGTGCACCTCTAATGGGCAGGTTTGTGTCATTGCTGCAGAGGCGTCTTAATCATGTGTTTGATAGTGACTAATGCAATAATGTTTGGTAAACCACCCTTGCTGGTTTTAAAAGGATATTAACCAAAAGAAGAAAAACAAAAGCAATTGAGGAAAAAAAGCTTCTGCAAAGATCAGCATAACGAAGTGAGAGCCTCTCGCTTCTGCAGAGCTGTTTTTAATGTTGCAGGAAAGCAAACCGCTAATGCAAAGTGATAATTGCTTCTCTAATGGCGACATGTTAAAGAGATTTGCCTGTATTAGACACTTCTACTGTTTTTTGTTGTTGTTGTTTGTTTGTTTCACTGCTTGCCAGGAACTGAAAGGATTAATGAGCTGGTGTGTGCTTGTGTGTGTTGTGCAGCGGGCCAGCTCGCAGGAAACTCCTCGGTTGAGATGTACAAACAGGTCCTCCTGTCTGGGTGCCGCTGTATTGAACTGGATTGCTGGAAAGGGCGCACCACAGAAGAAGAGCCTGTCATCACTCATGGGTTTACAATGACAACTGAAATCGTCTTTAAGGTACGGGCAAAAAAAAGCCCAAAAAACCCCTGAAACCTTTAAATCATGGGTTGGAGCAGAAGATGATTTTGAAATCTGTTTCCGCTCAGTGGAGTTTGGGTTACCTAAATGCTTCTTTAGTGACCTTTTTTGGTTGGCAGCCACCACTGCATAGCATTATGGATTTTTTCACCCTAATCCTGTTTGATACGTTTATCCAGTGAGATTGTTTCTGTGCTTAAACAATAGCTTTAACTAGAGAGTGCTGGCCAAAATTCTATACTAACTTTCTTTGTTAATCAAATTGACTAGAACTGTTGGCTGGTGTTATGAAAAGACTAAAGCCCCAAAATTAGTTTTAAGGTTAAATCAGCATTGCAACCTAGTTACTGTAGCATTTTCCATCCAACAAATTTGTTTTCTGTTGACATATGCAGGAAAAGTATTCTTATGATATTTGAAGAAAAAAAATAGAAAAAAACATTTTATCATGGCCTCATTCTAACCTTTTAGAGCTCCTCCACCCTCAGATTGTACTTCAGGGCACTACTGTGCTACATTACATTAGTTATTGCACTGCCATTTAGATCAATTATTGAGATTTGGAAATATGAGTTGGAGATGTTTGAGTTACTAAAGGACAACAAATGTGTTGTGTTGCATTGGTCTGACCCAAGTTGATTTGTAAAATAAATGCAGTGTGATTTTTTTTTTTTTAAATCAAACTGTGGTCTCTGCTGTGGAAAATGTTTGCTTTTAGTGGTTAGTGCAGAAAAGCATTAAACAGCAACATAGGCAGCCCATTTTATCATTCCTTATTAATGCTGCCTTCACAGAAGTTCAAGCAAACTTTGCCTTCTGCACTAATGTGCCTCCTAAGAAGTTGCATGATTCATGTTCTCTTGAGTCTGAAGCCCCCCTGCTGTGCTTTTCATTACAGACTCATGTATGTTTCTAAACACTGCTTGAGGCCCTAAACATTACTTATTTCATGCTTGCATGCACAATCTGTCAGTGATTAATTATTATGAACCGAAGAACAAAGGAAACACTTTTTTGAATTTGTACGACTGTTCTTTATGACATCCGCCGCCATTGGTGAGTTTTGTGTCTATTCCACAACCCTATGCTGCAAAGTGCACAGAGAAAGTATGCACACAGAATGATGAGGAAAAACATCCAAATTAACTGTGCTAAAAGAGAAAAATTGTCCAAACTCCATCCTTACTGCTGCACCTTATCAGTTTTTTCATCATGTTAGGATCAGTATGTCCTGTTATTTGTTTAAACAAAAAATCCTGCATTGTTAATTCAATTAATATGAACTTTTATAGGAACTGACTGGACTTTCTGAGAAAGCTGTTGGGGGCCTGAAAGTAAGCTGTGGATCCAGTAAATAAATACCAGTTTGTGTTTGCTGACTATGAGCTGATCAGTTCAAGGTCCTGCAGCTTTCAAGTCCCTTTTTACTTATTCTGAAAAATGAAACATTTGTGTCAGTGATGCTTCAGAATGACACCAAACTCTGTTAAATCAGAGCATTTTATGAACCTGCATTCCTTCTAGCAGCAGGCTGCTCTTCCTCCTCCTCATCATCATTTGTAAATGCAATCTCAAGGCTTCTCTTTGACCACCTGACAGATATACCTGCGTATATCAAGCTACAGTCTTAAAAACACACCACTTCCTCTGGTCTCCAAGCAACAAGGACCAAACTCGAACACAATTTGACCATGCATGTCTTTCTCTCCACCTCAAGCAACATCCATGAAGTCTTATTTTCACTTTAGTTGTCTGAATCTAAAAATGTAAAAAAATAATTTCAAAACTCCAAATATATCAACTATGTGACCAAAACTCATTTAAATTAGAAAATGCAATAAATCCATAACTTAACATTATTTTAAAGAAATTTTTATTCTGCCATTTGGTCGTTTAGAGCTGGTTTTGAAATACTGACAGCATCAACAAACACTATAAGGGTAAAGAGTAGAGAAAGAAAGGCAGATAAAGAAATGAAGGAAATCAAAAAGTGAGACACAGATGCACTGAATAGTCCTAAAGAGAAGAGCCAGGGGGCAATTTATCAAGGTCATAAGAGGGGGAGAGCACAATAAGGAAAAATTCTTCAAAAGAGGAAAAATGTAGCTTTAAACTCTTAAGAATTGAGTAGATGTCAAGAGAAAAAAAAACTAATGGGTGAATTGATTGATGCTGGAAATTGTAATCTAATTTGACTAAGAGAAGGAGCCTAATGGAATTAAAGTGGAATGCAAAAAGAGGGAAGCTGAGAAAGATGGAGGAGAGCTAAAGATAAAGAAGGCTGCTGATTATATTGAAAGACGTGGTGCAAATGGAAATGAAGGCATTAGCTTAACTGACACTGTTGTTAACAACAGTGTAATTGATTTAGACGATCAGTGGTTCAGAAGACTGATTTCAGACTGGGTCCTCTGAATGTGACAGAACCTCATTAGTCATGTAAAACAGACGTTAATGATTGGGAAATCAAAACAGTGCAGTGATTGAACTTATTTTACTGATATTGACTCCCTTTCTGTGTAATGATCTCACTTCATATGACCGGCTGTCAGGAATGCTTTAAAATAAAGTCATATCTGAACCTGGGTAAATGGACACGTTGCTGTTTTTCAGGATCTCGTTTGTTTGCTTCTGTGTTCAGGAAGTGATCGAGGCGATTGCAGAGTGTGCCTTCAAGACCTCACCGTTTCCCGTCATCCTGTCTTTCGAGAACCACGTGGACTCGTAAGTCGGCAAACCGCTTCAAGTCGGCGCAAACCGGTTTTGACCTTTTTGATGAGCACAAAGCATTCGCCAGCTGTCAGTTACCGGGATGTGGAGAACATTTTGATTGGTTGTTCTAACTTTAATATCTGCTAGGGAATGTCAGCGAAGGAACATAAATATTCAGTGTATTGACATTTAGCGGAGAAATCATGATTGTTTCTCTGTGCTTTTGTGCTTGCGTGTTTGTGTGTGTGTGGGTTGAATCGAAGACCAAAGCAGCAGGCGAAGATGGCAGAGTACTGCCGGTCAATATTTGGAGACGCACTACTGATGGAACCACTGGAGAAATATCCTGTGAGTACACAGGACGCTCGAACACACTCTACATGTGCACATTCTCACTCTGACATTCACACTTTCAGCAGCTCCTTCTCTTCTTAACACGCACCCCGATACATAAAACATGGCAGGCAGTGAAGTGTTCAGGAGGCATTAACCCACGGAAGAGTGCACTCAGGAACCAAAGGAGCGTTTGCATGTGGTTCTTAGAAGGTTGAAAAGTAAGAACTGACTGTTTTTAAAGTAACTAAAGGAAAGTAACTAACGGAAAAGTAACTAAAGGAAAACATGGAAATGGTGATTGAATGCACCAATGTACCAGTCAGCAAATACACAGAAGTAAACTATTACATTTCTGACTCCCACAATTGCACACAGATGCAGCTGCTGGACACTTAGTTGCAAAAGACCAACTTTATTTATTTATTTTTTTAATAACAGAGAGGTACAAATAAAAATTTAAAAAAAGACACAATAAAAAATAAAAACAAGTTCAGAGAAAATCTAATTGCGAATCCGCAGCAAAGATTGAAAATAAATGTTCGCACTTTCCTTGAATCCCACTTCATAATTAGGAACTTGATAAATAAAATCGCCGCAAAGTCCTTCTTCAATATTTGTCGTTGCAATGTGACAAATGTAAACAAGTAAAAAAGGTTATTCAAGGTATTACATGTGATCAAGCCAAGATGAAGGCTTGCAATATCGGTGTTACTGTGAAAGGAACTCAAGCAACAGGTGTCGCCTTGTTTACATGTAGACCAATGTATTTAAACAGAAATATAGAAATTGCTGCAAATTCTCGTAGCTTCTCCAGAATGTCTGTCTCTTCCACTCACACACACCAGCAACTGTTTACAAGCCGCAGAAGCCAACTTCAGATGACTCATCGCAGAATCACTCCTTTTCGTCTGCGTCACCTCTGTGCCATCACTGAGACTGGAAATGACAGGCGTTTAAGATTAAATGAAAGTGTTTTATGCTGTAATCACAACATGGCTTTCCTTGGCACCCCTTTATCAGCCTTTCCTCTGTTGCCATGGTTACTAGAGAAAAGCTTGCATTGTCCCTTTGTGGCCAAATGTTCAACCCTCCCTCGAGCCCCCCCTCCACCCAAAAGACGTCTTTGTGTGTGTGATGACGCAGGCATCCCGCGCCAGGCAAATATAGACACTTGTTGTACAAACTCTCACATGCACACACTCTCCAAACTTGAAAACGCACACACACACGCACCCATGCAGCACACACACACAGTTTAGCACAGAAGTTATTCCCCTCGCATTTTTCAGCAGGAAAATTGCTGTCCCTGTTGTCACCGTGGAGGAGCGAAAGTTCCCACCACTCTGAGGCAGCATTATCTCACACACGCAGGGAGTTCCACCAGTCCTGCCGCCTGCCAAAGACGCATCCATCTGAGAACTACAGCCCTCTGACAGGGTTTGACATTGAAGTATTATCAGGGAGAAGCCTTTTGAATAGAGCGGCAGTGGAGGGAAAGTGAAGTGAAGGGGAGGGAGAAAACGAGAGGCACACCGAGGGCGGAGCTGGAGGAACAGAGAGGGAACGAACCTCTGAAGAATGAGATTTTTTTTTTTACCACTGAGCTTGTAATAACTGGGAAAGGTGAGAGCAATGACAACCACTCCCCTCTGGCAGCGAGGCAGACATGTATACAGCATATCGAACAGAATATCAGCTCTGTGAGTCTGTAGGCGCAGTCAGATAGGGTAATACAGCCAGATTGGTTCCAGCTCAACCAAGGGTGAGGATAAAGAGGATTAAGATTTTGTGGAACTGAACTTCCTCCTTCATCTCCTCTTTACAAAGATGTTTTTCACTACATTTACTGATGCAGGCTAATTTGTTGGTTACCTTCCACGATGAAAAAAAGCAGGGTAAAAAGCACAATTATCTCTATACTACTTAAAACGTAAAGCTGATTTATATCCTTTGTGGATTATTCAATATTTAACACAAATCAAACGTTGCTTTTGATTTCCACTTTTCATCCATTTTCTTCTGCTTATCTGGGTTTGTTAAAAATTATTAGGGTTAGCCCTCCATGGTCTTCCTCCGTGGTCTTCCTCCGTCCACTCACTGCAGTGGTGTGGATGGCTCTTCAGCACTATCCATGTCATCATTCTGGGTCGCATTTACTCTCAGGTCCACTCTAGGAGATTGGCTAGAGCTCCATGAATCTTAAAGATTTTAATTATATTAGCCACTATGGCCACACGGACATGAAGCCACTTGGAGAGAGTCTTCTCTTTCTGATCTGCTCGAACAACTCCAAGCTTTGCTTTCTCTGCTCCATGTTCAGTGTGGCGCAAACTACCCAGTAGCTTTGAAACTGTGAATAAGAACCTGTGATACAATGTCAAAACATATTATTTGGCATATTTTTAAAACAAGCAATCTCATTTTACAATTTATTTTAGTAGATGCGGCTATCATATCAAAGGCTTTTAGATATGCATTAGAAAATCACTTGCATTTGAAGCACTTTTTCAGAAGAAATTATGCATTTTTTCAATGAGCTCCGACAAATTCATTAGCTTTATTTTTATTTTTTTACACCGACGCTGTAAGCAGTCTGTTCAGTAAACAGCAATGGTGCTTCATTGCGTTAGCTACGATACCCGTGAAGGTCGTGTAGTACAAATATCTTCATCGCAATACCTGAAAAATATGTACATCCTTTTAAAAATGAAAGTGTTTGTCTTGAAGTTCTTTTCAATCCCGTTTGAAGCAGCCGACAAACCAGAATTGGCAAGCAGCAGCGATGCGCTCAGGCAGAACGCAGACAGGACTGAGAATAATACGTGGAAGCGAGTGCAGACAGAAGACTGCAAAACAATATTCCACCCACCAAAGACGAAAATGACGCAGCTTCAGGCTGAAATGTCAGTTCTCCATCACTGTCACTGGTCTGACTTGCCGCGCTATGTATCAACTGGCTTTCGATTGAATTATTTGTTTTCCTGCAAAGTTTAACAACATAAAGGTAGAAACTGACATTAGTTTAAATTAAAGGGGAACTTGTTTTTCAGTGTAAAGGTTATGTCAGAAACATGAAGGTTAAACTCCAGGAGAAAATCGATATGAGCGACTATTGTTACAAGTTTAATTTTATTTTCGTAATCCAGGTCAAAAAGTAACCTGCTCATTATATAGAGCCATTATATAAAGAGAGACATATTTAAATTCAAACTTAAATCTCTCTGAAAATCTGAATACAACATTAGGCAAATTTTAAAAAAGCCTTTAAATACAGAACAAATATGTCATATAGTCTTAAGAGTTGTCCTGCTGACAGTCTCTGATTCTCTCCACTAAGATTCAAGCCTCAAAAGGGCTTTGCTGGTTGTTCAGCTAAGTTACCTCCATAAAATGTTGACGTAGAGTAAAAAAAATGGTCCAAAAGCTTCAGAGATAATAACATCCTTGGGAGAATCATAAACCAAATCCCATTCAAGAGCTTCAAGGGGATTCATGATGCATTGCCTGCGGCTGCCGCATTCATTGTGTTTAATCACTTCTGCAACAGAGACAGTATTAGAAATGTCTTTCCCGGGCTAACGAGAAAATGGACTGGACTCTGGATTAGTGGTCCAAAGTTCTTCTTAATATATTTTTCACTTAATTTGTAAATCAAGGTCACAGAGCCTGGAATGATCCACTTTGCTAGAAGTGTGATGTTTTCTCAGTCGGGGATGATTTGTGGTGACATGTCATCCATGTGGGTCCGCTGTGTTTTATCAAGTCTGAGGCGAGTTCAGCATTCAACCAGGAAACGCCAATGAGCTTTATGAACATGCTGATTTCATTTCTTGAGCGAGACCTGCCACCTGCCCACACTGCTGAAGGTACCATAAGCTGGTTGAATGAGAATGATATCACGATGCTCGACTGGCCAACAAACTGTCCTGAACTAAATCCCACGAAGAAAAGGGGTTTTCTCGAGAGGAAGATATGCAAACAATGCAGACAAGCTTAAGGCTCCTATCGAATCAACCTGAGCTTCTTCAACCCGTCAGCGGAGCCAGAGCCTGACCGTCTCCATGTCACACTGGAATGATCCAGTGGAAAAGGAAACCCAACCAAATTCTGAGTGCATAACTATGATTTCACTCGATTGCCATTTCCATCCTGAAAATCCTCCTTTATTTGTCCAGAGTGAGAATTTCGGTTTGAAATTTTCTGTAATTTATATCACTTTGTGTTACAATTGGCAAGCAAATCTATATAATGAGATTCCCTTCTTTAATTGGTTCATGTTGGTTTGCTACATGTAAAGTCTGCAGCCATAGAAGTTCAAACTTCTATGTATTGTATCCAATTTTTCATCCAGGAAAACTGTAACCTAATAAACCAACAAAGAGCAGCACAAACTGAAATCAAATATTTCTTTTATTTTGTCCTACACAGTGCAACTATAGCATTTTTCATGACTGTGATTATTCACGGTATGTTGTGATAGGTGAAAGGCAACGGTGGCTCAAGAGATGCTGCTTTTGACATTTTAATTAAAGCATAAAGTGTGTAACATTTACATGGTAAAGTGCACAAACAACAGTTCTGGGATTTTAGAGAAAGCTGACCTGAATACAGCTGTGCTTTACTTCAATAGATACATTTTTTTAAATCTTTTTATTTCATCTGCTTGGAGTCAAGATTTAATGCATATTCCAACGGTGTGAGTAGAACCATTTGAGGCCAATGCAAACAGGATGTCTAATCGTTTTAGCGTCATTTCCCTGCAACAACAGCACAGAGGCATCAAGTCTGTCTGCTGGTGATAGAAAGTAGGTTATTAGGCTGTTAAAACTTGTCTGAATCTGCTGCGTGAATCATCAAACTCCCTTTTGTAAACATTCAGAAAGACTGAGCAAACAAGAACATGTTCATGGCTGATAAGTTGTTAACGCTGTAGCTGTGCATGTGTACATGTACTCATCATTACTGCAAACTTTTTTTTTTAAGAGATGAATTATTGATTAGGCTAAACACAGTGATCCTAAAGCAGTGCATCCCATTAATAATTCAAAACTCTGCCGACTTCAGGCTCGCTCTCTTATGAGTTTGGGTTTAATGTTCAGTTTCCTCCCAAGACGCTGATTGAGGTGTTGATCTGTAATGATCAGCACAGCTTCTTAGGATCTCCAGAGAACTTTTTTTTCCTTCTTCTCACTAACACGAATTTACATTTTGAACACCCTGAAATAAGACATCATAAGCAAATTTTGCACTTCGTTTACGTTTTCCGTTTTTCTCTGCGATTTTAGGAAATCTGAACTGACACACATTCCCCACTTTTTCACAGTTATCTGTCTGTCTCTCCATCTTCGTCTGCACTCCTTTCAGCTCGACACTGGAGTCCCACTTCCCAGCCCCATGGAGCTGATGGGGAAGATCCTGGTGAAGAATAAAAAGAAACATCACAAAACCGAAGGAAGCACCAAGAAAAAGCTCGCTGAGCAGGTTTCCAACACTTACAGTGACTCCTCCAGCATATGTGAGCCGTCCTCCCCCAGTGCAGGTACGGCACACCTGATATCGCACAGATGCTTTCAAATATCCCCCCCAAAAAATAAGTAAATCTTAGCAAGAGACACTGACGCTCATGTTTTATGATGTAAAATGTAACCATCTGGCTCAAAATAAGCTGTGGACCAAAACTTCTCTGGCGCCCAGAGACTGAAGCAGCGAAGCAAAACCCTATTGTTGTTCTGCATTTTATCATTTTTATGGCTCTTTCCATCAGTCCAGGATATTATTGGCTGCTGCACACACCTTCTGGGGCTCCTTAAACACTAGCCAGAGGCAGCCGTCAACTTGTCGGTGTGTGTTTGTGTGCGTGCAGCTGTGTGTGCATTATGTTGTGACGATATCACAGCTGCTCCCTGGCTTGAGTTTTCTCAGATCTGTTAACAGCCAGGCTGTAGTGTGCCGCACATTTTATTTGGGCTTTCAAATGTGTGTGTGTGTGTGTGTGTGTGTGTAAAGTCCACCTCTTATTCCTCGAATTTATGCTGTATTTCTTGCGCACACTGCCCCCTGGTGATAGAACATGAGTATGCCAGCGCCAAATCTTTTTTTGTTTTTTTTAGATAGTGAGTCTTTATTTGAGAGTGGTCAGACAGGAAAGTGGGTAATATGTGCAACAAAGGTCATCAGGGGTCATCCAGGACTCGAAACTGAGCAACCTGCCACATTGAGGACTTTCCACACATGGGTTGAGCTTTACTCCTGTGCCACCGCAATCCAAAATCCCTTTAACTTGTACATTCAGAAGCAATAATTTGGTCAACCTGTAAAGACTGCATTTTTTTATCAGTGTAGTGGCATTGAAAGAGTAAAATAAATCAGTTTTTATCTATTTTAGCAAATTAATCAAAAATAGAGTGCAAACAGTGAATGGAGTTTGAAAAAAAAGCAACCAAAATGAAAATTCTTTTTGTTTTTGTTTTTTTTTCCCTCCAAGGTTCAACTAAAGAAGAGATGGCTGATTCGTCACAACCCTCTGACGGCACTGAGCTCAACCTGAGACCACATGGCAGAAAGTCTATTGGTGAGTGATGACCTAAGCCTAAAATCTTTTGTGTGGTCCTCATTAGGCTGGAGCTGTTAGTCACTTTGACAATTATCTTACACATAATTTCCTGTGTCAGTGTGAGCTAAGATATACATGAAGATACTGAGTCGGTCTCTCATTATGCATGCAGAGAGGCTGGGTGAGTTTCAGCTTAGAAATATTAAAACAAATATTTGTCACTGAGCTCCATCAGTTGGTGGTAGATTCGCCTTGTTATTTTAAGGTGAGTTGATAGAACTTATTACTAAATAAAGCTACGAAAAGATGATCAATATTTAAAAAGGTCAGTGAGACGTTTACTTCGTCTTTGTGGAAATGTCAAATAAACTTTTACAATTCGTTTTAAGTTAACTGCAACTCCTATTTTAGGTGAGGTGGAAGCCGAAAGCGATGAGGACGATGACGATGATGATGACTGTAAAAAGGGCTCCATGGATGAGGTGTGTATGGAGGGAAGTGGCACACATATCAAGAGGGTTGTACTTTTTTTTTTTCTCACAAATTGTTCCGACTTTTTTTGATCTCCAACTGAACCACCACCAGCTCTTTGAGGTTTCAATAATCTTTTGCACTTTGATGGAGGAAAACCTGTGGTGATTCTTCTTTGCTAAACAGCTCAAGCTCAGCCTGATTGGATGGAGTGATTCAGCAATGTCTATATTGCAAAGAGACTGCAATTAATGTTAACTATTTATTTAATTATCTTGCATTCAGGCTCTGTGCCTGTAATAGACTTGCTCATACTTTTGTATTTGCTGATAATTAAAAGTATCTCATGACTTTCATTCATATGAAAGTAATCAATTAATTTTTTTCCAGTAGTTGTGTTGATTTTCTGCAAAAAAAACTTTGTTTTGCATGTGGATATTTTATCTGACTCTATCTTCATGATGCTGTTCCTGTATATTGTTATGGAGACATAATTATACACATCTGGCTTCTATTTAGTTACTTACTTTTATTTGTACTGAATTTTATTGAGGTTATCAGTTAGATAGATATTCATGCCAACTTTCTCAGGTTTTAATTTCTAAAAATGTTTGTACTAATTTACATTCAGCTACAAAATTTCAGGAACATTTACCAGGATCTAAATATGTATGGTCGTGATGTGATTGAACATGAAAAGTTTTATCTTTCTGCAAGCCACAGATTTTAAATACTGCTCATGATTTATAATTGTTTGAATAGTTTGCACATCTGAGGTTGCCCGCAAATGTTTTATTTTTTTTTTCTATATACAATAATTTTGTTTCCTCTTACCTTGAGTACAAACCCTTTTCAATCTGATTTTGTTCTACGATGACCATTAGTCCTTGCTGTATTCAAAAGACCACTTCACACTGAGATTGAAAAATGCTTCAGTAATTCCAAACTGAAAAAACAGAAAAGATTTTTGCAGGTTATTGTTAACCAAAAGGAAAAAAAACAAATAAAAGATTGTGTCCAAAGCAGGGAGGCGATGCATTTTATCCCCAAGGGTTCACCTCTTCTGTCGCAGAGGCTTTGTTGAAGGTTATTGCAACAGTGATCTTCTGAACTGGTCTTTACTGCACTGGACATGAAGAAGTATCTGAGCAATTTTCTGCTAACAGCTTTAGGGTCTTCAGAGGGGGCCCTAACTCAAAGCCACCTTTCTTTTGATTGGTTTCTTCACTTTCTTTGAGCCACTGGCTTTTCTGTTACGCCATCCATTTCTCCATAAAGCTGACTTATTTCCAGTTCAATCTGTTGTACAGGTGGACACCAGTGTAGTTGTACTTTTTAAAACTGTCTTTACCTAGATAGCAGTGTTGTTTCGCTGGATTTCAAGCTTTTGAAACGATAGCAAAATGAATCAATGTAAGCTAAACTCCAGTTGATAAAGAATTTTATTTTGCTTCCCTTTTAAATTGAAGTGAACTACTGGCCCCCTGTTGCTTACAGCAGATTTGTTTTTTTCTAATTTTTCTTGACCCATGGTGACTATACACTTCCTTAGCTGGATTCTTCTCTAGCACTCAAGTGTTTCCCTCCCACTACTCCAACATTAAGCTAGAGTATACCATATCTACACATAAGCGCCACTGCTTCAAAATTAGCACATGTACTTCCAAAATTTTGCCGCAAAGTATATACTTTTCATCAGAACACAGTTTAACCTAATGCTACACTGTGCAGCTGCTCTGTCTGCAGCAATGAAGATTTTGTCACCTCAGCATGCTGATGTGGCAGCCAGATCAACTTTGTGAATAATTCACTTAGAATGATGTTTTTCAACCAGCTCATATCCGTTGCAGGATGGGAAAGAGTGTGAGAACAGATTAAAGATGTTGCGTCTCTTCATGCTCAGGGCACAGCAGGCAGTGAGGCGTTCGCCACAGAGGAGATGTCCAACCTGGTCATCTACATCCAGCCTGTCAAGTTCTACTGCTTCGAGGCGTCCAAAAGTAAGCAAGACTGATCGACATTTTACAAGTGTAATAGTCATTTAGGCATACGGAGAAAAAATAACCATGTTAATTTTTTCCTGTATTCTGTATTATATAACTGTGAACAATTATGTGTTTTACTTAAGTAGAAGATAATTAAATAAAAATTAATGCTTCTTGTAAGACGTGTGGGAATAATACCAACATACAATGTAGTTTAAATGCCTATTCTAACAATGAGAAACTAATTGCATTTGAAAACTGCAGCTGCTTTATTCAATGTTCCTGCGTTGACCTGCAGAGATCAACCGGAGCTTCCAGATGTCCTCCTTTGTAGAGACCAAAGCTTTGGAGCAACTGACAAAGTCTCCAGTAGAGTTTGTGGAGTATCCTTCTTCAAGCACAGCGTTCTGCTTTTTACTGTCTGGAAAACATTTGTTGTTATGTTCGTCTGGTTTCTGCTCTGACGGTAATGACTTAAAGCAGATAGAGGCCAACTTCACTCTGCTTCTGTGCTTTTTCATCTCCTTTCATTCTGTGTTGCGATTTCACTCCATAACAGCAGTAACGAGACAGTTTATGTCATAAATGCATCTGTAATGCGATAGTCATAATTGTTTAGCTTCTTAATTATTTATTTTAGCAGTTCTTTTAGGAGAGCGCAGATAATACAAACTACAATTTTAATTATTTTTAAATACAAATTGGCTTGATTTTATGGTGAATTCATTTTAAAAAAAGGTAAAAATTTCACATATAGACTTAAATATCGACCTGTTAAGTAAACGTATGTCTCACAGCGAATTGCACTTTGACCACGCACTGTTTCCAGCTATGACCAAACGTGTGGTTAAATTTGTGTCTGACATAGTCCAGAACTTTTGACACAGTTTACATTGAAGCCATCACAGAGACTCAGCATTGACAGAAAACATTTGGATGAGCTTTTGGGGTCTAGTTTTTAAAGGTCTGGTTGTTGTTTTAAGGTGAAGCTGAGGACTTTGGTGGCATTCCTCCGCCTTTATTATTTCAACTTATTTCTACAACGCACTGTGGAGTGCTTTGTAGTTTGGTGACAAAGCTGTGCATTTATATGCAGCTGTTCTTTACTTAACCGATTGTGCGCAGATACAACAAGCTGCAGCTGAGCAGGATCTACCCTAAAGGAACTCGAGTAGATTCATCCAACTACAACCCCCAGCTCTTCTGGAACGCCGGCTGTCAGCTGGTAGCTCTCAACTTCCAAACCATTGGTGAGGGAAGACAGCAACATCTTTTTGATAAATCTAATTGGCTAAAAGCTTCATTCGTCTACAGCGTGCAGAACAAAATAAATCCTGTCTATCATCCTCAGACTTATCGATGCAGCTGAACCTAGGCATGTATGAGTACAATGGGAAATGTGGCTACAGACTGAAACCAGAGTTCATGAGACGGCCGGACAAACACTTCGATCCTTTCACTGAGAGCACAGTAGACGGGATAGTCGCCAACACACTGTCTGTTAAGGTGTGTGTGTTCATATTGATCCCATTCAGCTGCTGTAGGTCGGTCTGTGTGAATAACATCTGGCAGAGTGTGGTTTTATTACTCAAAATCGGGTCAGGGTTCAATGAGAACATTGCACGACCAGTTGCAAAATGTGATTATGTTTTTGATCTGGTTCTGGATCCAGAAGGTCCTTCACTCAGTCAAGCAATAACTGAATTTCCATTTATTACAGATCATCTCAGGTCAATTCCTGACCGATAAGAAAGTAGGCACATACGTGGAGATCGACATGTTTGGCCTGCCAGTGGACACCAAGAGGAAAGCATTCAAGACCAAGACATCTCAGGGCAATGCCATCAACCCTCTCTGGGAAGAAGAGGCCATTGTTTTCAAAAAAGTGAACTTCATGTTGAAACTTCACCTAACGTCCAAGAAATTTAATAAAGTTGATTTCCCTTACAAATGCAAAATTGCAAAGTACAAATTTACTGGAGGATAAAATTATAAATACCTTGACGTAAAATACGATGAGTGTATGGAACTGCATTTGGTCTTATTAATCTGTAATGCTAAATAATAGATAATGCTTAATAATATACACTCTTTTTTTATTATTATTTTTGTTTTTTTTATTTTTTTATTTACTGAAATGTTCTAATACCATTTGGTAAGATTTCTTTAAGAAAGCTCTTCATCACCCTTACAATTAATTTTTACATTTCATCTTCTTTTCACTCATATAATATGTGTATGTTTAGAGGATCATTTTAAATATAGAACAGCATATTTGTTTGGGAGAATCATTTAATTTAGCAAAGTACAATGCTTTCTGTTTAGAAATGCTTGCATATGCATCAAAACAAACAGTGAAAAATCAAAATATGAACTGGATCTTAATATAAACAGGACTAGAACGTTATTTTAAAAAATTCAGCTTTTATTCCTATGATGTTATCTGATCCTGTATATACGTTATGTTTAGGTCGTCCTTCCTACACTGGCCTCACTGAGGATAGCAGTGTTTGAAGAAGGAGGAAAGTTTATTGGCCACCGCATCATGCCCGTTTCAGCCATCCGTCCAGGTGACAGAACTCATTTCTTCTTAATGTCATTTCAAACCATATTAAATGCACCTATGTTTAAAAAAAAACATGACAACTTAACAGGCGTAAGAATATGACATTTTAAAACGTGAATCCACAAGACATTGATTTTCTTCCTCTGCAGAAATGTAACGTCTCTCATTTGTGTTTCAGGTTATCGGTATATCAGCCTAAGGAATGAGAAGAACCAGACGCTGATGCTACCCGTCCTCTTTGTTTACGTTGAAGTGAAGGACTACGTCCCAGACACATTTGCAGGTAAGTCACTGGCAGAGAAAGGAAATAGAAATCCTGTTTTGTCATCAGGCATTACCCATTTTTTTTCCTCCCTGCTCCTTAGACGTCATTGAAGCCTTGTCCAATCCCATCCGCTATGTCAACCTGATGCAACAGAGAGTCGATAAGCTGGCGCCTCTCACCTTAGAGGAAGGAGGAGAAGAGGAGGGTGACAAAGAGGTACATGAATATTTAAAAAAAAAAAAAAAACTTTGCCTCACAAATAATCCATTTTTTACATAAACATCTAATTGATATTTTTGGATTTATGTAGGTTTTTATGTAATTGACTATTTTGAAAACAGTTTGGGATAAGCTAGAGTGTGTTCAAGAAAGGAGTTATAAAGCAGCTTTGAGTTGTTAGACAGTTCACATGACATCCAACCTTTTTATGATAAAAATTAGCTTGGTAAAATATATAGAGGTACTTCTAATGTCTTCCTCTAGATGATGCCTGTAGCTCTCCAATCCACCGTCCTCTTAATGATAAATTTATGATGTACAGGAAACATTTAGGGGACATTTCCAAACTTCTTTTGAAATGTTGTATATGCAAAGCAAACAGTTCAGGGTGAAGCTGGTCACAGGTTAAAGTACATTTTCTAAATTCTTTTCTAAATGATTTTAATTGAGGCTCAGAAAAACCCCTCCAACAAAATCTGTTCTTTTATATGAAAGACTTAAATGTCTTTGTTCACATCCTTACTATTAGTCAGGAATACCATTCTGATCAAGACTCACACAGAGAGTTTACACAGATCTTGTTGGGAACTACAAAGTAATATTTCTCTCTCCCTCTGCAAATAGCACAGTTTTGGAAATTTGCTAAAGAGGGAACAGATTTCCCCTTCAAATAAGCACTGTTGAGATGCAGTTTAGATCGACATGATGCGGGAAGGGTTTTCTTATAATCAGGAGCGTTTAAACTATACTGAAACCATGTGATGAAAGAATAAATAAATTAATCTTATTCCTACCACAAAATTCTGCGAATGCTATCAGCCAGCTGTCTGCCCCACTTTAATTCCAGGTCATGCATGATAAATTGAACTTTAGCCAGCTATGTAGCAGTGTTATGATTTTTATGTAAAATCTTATAAGATCACCTAGTTTGAAATTTTGAACCTGACTGTAAGTGTAATTTAAGTTTTTACGTTTAATGAGTTCTGTTTTTTAATAGTCGGCCGTTTGCGTCAAATGACCTCATGTGAGTCATTTCAAAACACTTTAGATTTGACAAAATTTTAAAATTTCTCCAGCTGAAGCAAAGATGTGTCTCTGCATTCCCATCACCAATGGACATTAAGGACGTTAAACTAAAAGTGGTAACTATTAAATCACGCGCTTAACATAATGTGCGCGTAGAAACAAGTAGCAATCGGAGCGTAGTTGTAGTCTGCTTGATCTGACATAACGGGGATAAGCAGCCAGGGATCGTTGAGGCCGCTCATGTGCAAGTTCTGTGTTACAATAGCTCGCATGTAATATCTGACTTATTCGACTCGATTTGCTTCTTTGTTTGATTAATGTGTGAAAATATGTGCAGCTTTGTAACATCTGCCTTTGTAGTTTAAAGCTCAAGCTCAGAAATGTTAGAGTTGCAGAAGCAGAGCAACGGGGAACAGACAGGAAAGGGGAATTACCTTTGAGAGAAACACGAGAATTTAAAATATTAAAATGAGGACACATTTATCATGCGAGATGAGGCAGGACCCAGGTTATTAGTAAAGGGAACTGCAAAGGGCGGCTGTCCCTCAGGGTCCTCTTTCATCTGCTTTGCCAGCTGATGTGATTACCCGAGAGCATTTCTTGTTTCATGCTGTGACCATGGCAACAGGGACCTTATGATCTAGAGCGTGGAAAGGCAGGGCATAAATGCGGCGAGAGAACCGAAAGAGAGCAAAGATCAGGCGTGAGTGATTTTCATCAAAGTTTAAGTGATACAAGCATTCTCTGTGTGAGAAAAATAAGACCTGTTGGCTCTCGATACCACCTGCAATGCTGAGAGTGGGCTACCAACGCTATGTCTACAAACTGGCCTGCACAGCACTGGTAAACAAGTGAAAAAGGAGATAAATATTTACCTTTTATCCCTTAACCGAACCCCCCCAAAACAATTCTGAAGCTGTTTTTAGGTTCACTAAAAGTTTTCTGCTGAATGCGGTTGTCTCTTTTGAAATGAAGTTGATCCACATGCTTGTGCTTAATTTGGTGAACAGGTGGAGGCAGGAAGCGATGCGCCCTCTGAAGCTAAAGTGGACCAGAAGGCAGCAGTGCCTGCAGAGAACGGAGTGAGTCACACGCCCATCATCACCCCCAAACCTCCTTCACTTGGGCATCAGCCTCAGTCTGCAGGTACGAGACTTCCTCAGCCATTTGCAAACCAAGTATGGGGTACAGATATTTACTTACTTCATGTACTTGGGGGAACAGGTTCACTGAAACCATCAGTGAAGACAGAAGACATCATACAGAGTGTCCTTACTGGTAGGATGATCTTAAATCTTAAATGTTATTCATGTTATTTTTATGTAAGTAAGCCTTCCTTGCCTCATCCAAAAACATCACTGTGAATGTACAAATTCTAATCCTTGTTTTTGGTCTCGACACCACTGCTCTCATTTATCCGTTGGTGCTCCAGAGCTGGAGGCTCAGACTGTGGAGGAGTTGAAGCAGCAGAAGGGGTTTGTCCGGGAGCAGCGGAAGCAGTACAAGGAGATGAAGGAGCTGGTCAGAAAACACCACCGCAAAACAAGCGAGCTGATCAAGGAGCAAACGGCCCGCGTCTCCGAGCTGCAGAGCCAGCATCAGAGGCGACGCTCCGCCCTGCAGAAGAGCCACAAACGTGACTGCAAGAAAAGGTAGGCGACGCTCTCCTGCTGTTTTACTTCCCACTTGTTTTTCTGTTTGAATTTGTGCAAACTTGATTAAGTTGCGATCAAGTCAATTTAAATGTCCAGTAACTGAATTTCTGAGCCACTCTGACCTTTGGCTTCAAGTTCATAATTATGAACATTTTAAACTTAAAGAAACTATTTTCTGAACATGAAGAAAAAAGTTTACCTACTTAAATAATTTCTGAGATTTCAGCATAAAGAAAGATGTGACGTATTTAGTAAACAACTGTATTAACTGTAAACTGTATTGTTGAATACAATGTGTAATCCCTGACATGTCCAAATATTTCCTTTAGAAATTATAAAGATTTATGAATTAACCTTTTCAGTTTTATAAATGTTTGAATCAGTTTATTCTCATAAATGCTTTTTAAGGCACTTCGAGAAAAAATATTGAATTTTTCTTGACTTTTTCTAATGCAGCTATTTGGGTTTTTTGTGAATATTACTAATACTGTAATCAAAATCAATAATTTGATTTTGTATGTTTGCATATACTCAATCGTTCTCTCTAGTTTCACCAATAAAATCCCCCCTTAAAAGATTTTTGCAAGGACTCTGGTTAGAGTCTGTTTATGTGGATATGTGTGTCTCACTCTGTTTCATGTTTGTCTCAAAGTCGGTCTGACAACTCCCTGTCGACTCTGGACCAAGAGATGAGTGAGATGGACAAGGAGTCCAGCCAGAGACTGGCAGAGCTGAAGGAGCAGCAACAGCAGCAGCTGCTTAAACTCCGCCAAGAGCAATACTACAGTGAGAAATACCTGAAAAGAGAACACATAAAACAGGTACGCACCGCGCAGAATGCACCTGCACGCTGAGATGCACGCATATGGCATGCATGAATATTATGTAAGAGTTGCTTATTCCAGTGATTCAGTTCAAAAGGTGAACATGATGGATTATGAGGAATTATTAAACACAGACTGATGTATTCTAAGTATTTATTCATTTTGTGTTTAATGATGATGTCCAATTAAACCCAAAATTGTTTTAGTTTTCATAACAGCAAAGTCATTAAAACCCTGTATAAGAAAGATAAGCCTCAAAAGGTCATTGCTACATCAACGTGCTGTGCAGAAAAAAAAATATGGTAGAAAAAGTTGCACAAGCATCACGAATAAAAGGAGCCTTCATGTTATAAAGCTAAAGTTGTTCATGAGCTTTAAGGAGATTCCAGCTGGAGTTCCATGTACACCTGGGCTACAACTCCCACTTCATTTTATTAGGCCATTCTTCAGGCCTGGATGCTGTAAGAAGCATCTAAACTTGTCTAAAATGATCAGCTGTTGCAGATTAAAACACAACCATATATAAAAAACATACAAATATGTTCTCATGTCTCTTACGGTGGATAATACCAAGTCATTGCTCCCATATAAACATTAGTTGGGAACCTACAGAGCGTGAACATGAACATGCAGCTACTTTCTGTGGTGTAAACAGATGCGCCACACTCAGACCGCAGCCTGCCTTGACTTGCCGTTGACGGACGACGTGCTGACAGCCTCCTGCTGTCCTGAAGCTTTGGAGAAAGCAAGCACAAACAAGTGCATAAACAAATGCTGCAGTCAGCTCCAGGTCATCCCCCAGAAGGGTTTGACAGACATCACTTTGCTGCTTGTGCTCATGTTCTGTTGGATGATGTGGAAAACTGAATGTGTTCAGGTCCGGTGCATCTGCGCGGTGAACACAGCTGAGGTGTTAGACAGGAAAGGTTATACCAAGTGAAGAGGATGAGCGACAAGTCTAACAGCAGTTGTTTACTTGTTCTGCTGCTTGATTATAGTCAGAAACACAAAATGTGCAGCTTCACGTTAAAGAAGTGGTGGTTAAGAGGGGCCTTGAATCAAATCTGACGTTTTAGCGCTTTTGTAGTGTCGCAGAACGGATGTGTTTGTTTGTCCCCAGCTGGTCGAGAAGCTGACAACTATAGCAGAGGAGTGCCAGAGTGCTCAGCTTAAAAAGATCAGAGACATCTGTGAAAAGTAAGATTGGGTTTATCACTTGTACTTGAACAAATACACAGCAACCCGTTTCCCTTTTTGACGTCTCCCGACTGTATTCCAACTCTGGCAGAGAGAAGAAGGATCTGAAAAAGAAAATGGACAAGAAAAGACAAGAGAAGATCAACGAAGCGAAAGCCAAAGACAAGAATTTAACAGAAGAGTACGTTTTTCTAAGAGGTTTTTTAGACGGGATGTAATAATTTATTGACCACTAGGTGTCACTGTTGACTAAATGTTTTAATAAATGTTTCGTTCCCTACAGAGAGAAGTTAGAGATCAACAGATCTTTTGTCAACGAGGTGGTGCAGTACATTAAACGGGTAAGCAGGCATGTTATAGTCAATATCCTCAAATTATTTCTGATTCACGAGTTTATTCATTTATTCATCTTTCAACATGGCAATGTTGTAACTATGATTGTTGACAAAGGTGGTTATGCAAAGTATTGAATGAAGAGGCTGAATTTCAAATGTATGCCCCATTTTACAGACTTTGTTTGTTGTTGTTTTTTTGTTGTTGTTTTTTTTTTCAAAATGTGTAATTTTGGCAAAGTACCGTACATGAAAGATCTCAAACTGTGTGTTTGCAGTTGGAAGATGCTCAGTGTAAACGACATGAGAGGCTACAAGAGAAGCACAAGGACATACGGCAGCAAATCTTGGATGAAAAACCAAAGGTGAGTTTGTTCGAGACATTTTCTCATCATAATACACTTGTGTCTTTCAAAAGAGAGATGAATCAGCTTTGGAGGTTTTGGGGGAAGGGGGGGGTTGCTTCACAAGGACGCCAAATAAAGTACAGATATCCCTGAAAATTAAATTACACTTTTTGTTAAAGATATGCTGTTAATTTTTTAAATTAACAGTAGCACTCTTGGACAGCATCAACATTCATCAGGATTTCTTCTGTGCTAGGTTACTATGTGGAACAAATATGCAGATCTTCCATAAGTAAAAAAATATTGCTAATAATGAATTCCTAATATGTGAAATATGGCTGCAGAGTATTAACTTTCTAAAAAGAACATAACATGTAAATAATCCAATCAAAACTGTTATTTTGTATGAATTTTTTTATTTGTTATGTAGATTAAAAATATATGAATAAAAACTCAGTATTGTGTAGTTTTTATCTCATTTGTGACTCAGCTCAATCACATGAAAGGTGGTTCAACTTTTCTCAACCACCAGGTGGCGATCTGAGTCAGACATTTTTCTGCGGCACTCTGTGCTGAAAATGTTCCCTCTGGGCATTTACTAACTGTAATGTTTAATGCTATATTGTTAGCATCAGATTATGTTTGTGAAGGTTTTATTGTAGGGCTCTTAATGTTCCATTCATGTTTGCTAAAAACTGGGTTATTGCTTTATAACATCCACTTCCCTGCAGTAACTGTATCAGTCTGCGGCCCTTGTTATGAAAGCAATCGGTTATTAATGCTGCGATACTTATTGATTTACTCTCTGTGTGTTTGGGTTTATTACTCTGGTTCATACACGGAGTGCTTGGCATGTCGGTTTCACTTGTCGTTGTGACTTTCCTCGTAGGATGGTTGTGCTTCTGCAAAGCGTGGTAAGAACATGTGTGCATCCTGGTGTTGAGCACTAATTCAGCATAATCGTGGCATTAACAAGTTGCAAACAAGCAACAGTTAAGTTGCAAGTACAGCTTACATTCAGCTTGCCAATGTCTTATGAGCTATTATGAGTTATTAGTAATTGCAGCATTTGTAGTGGATATCATGGCAGATTTGCACCATAAGGACCAGCAGACTGGCCTGTGTATTGTGAGATCACACCCCAGCAGAGTGCCTGGATTCAGTGCCCCCTGTTAATGATTCCTTTGGCAATGTCCTTCACACTACTTTGGAAAAAAAATTTAAAATCCTTTAGTCAAATCATTTTGACCGCATACTTTTGTTCTGTACACATTTCCATAAATATCCAGAATGCTGAATACCTTCCAGATTCCAATAAGATCCTAAAAATGTGTTGGAATTGATGCAGTTATTGTAATAACACAGTTTGTCAAGTTCTACTAGTGCGTCTGCTCGGGGAAACTGAATCCGGATATCGGATTTAAAAAGGCGTAGATTGTACTTTTAAGACTTTTTTTTTTTTCTAGCATTTTAAGTTAATTGTTAGTCATTATTTGTTGTTTTTACTGGAATAAGATTAAGGGTATCAATGTCATTCCTATGTCATTTCTATCCTGTTAGTGTAGACTTGTTTATTTACAGCCCTGGCAAAATAAATCTGGCAGAAATGTTGACTGGACAACTATCAAGTGCACACTTCATGGAGCATTCTTGACAGCAAGCTGCGGGAGGTTTTGTTAAGTTTAACAAAACAGAGCAAACACGATGCAGTCTGTTGAGACCAAAGTTTAATTTTTTGTCTCTCCAAGTACATCACTATTTGTTGCAGCACTGATCATCCCGCTGAACATACTGGCCTCCCACTTTAAAACATGGAACTGTAGGGTTATAGAGCCATGTCAAAGTTCAGCCCTTTACCCTATAAAGAAATCTATTGTCATTCACATGAAATGCTGGGGGGAAAAAATAATCAAAAGGTGTGTCTACAAAGTATTAACTCTTATGAACAGTGCTGGACTGCGTAGAAACAATGTCTGGAGTCTGAGGTCAAACTGAGTATCTGTCATAAGAACAGAACAAAGGATTCTAGTATTGCAGCATATTTTAAATTAGAAATGCAGCAAACATAAAAACCAAATTCAAACATGTAATTTTCACTTTTGCTTAAATATAAATACTCCTCTCCTTGGCCCTTTTGGATTTATTCGCTTCAAAAAGTGCTCAATCAAGGGCTTCATATAGCTGTGTTACAGCGGGCTTTAAGCATCCCTCATTCTGACTGGAGATGTTGTGATGTGACGCAGAGTTCATGCTTACCATTTATTTCAACTCTTGAGTTAGTGCTCTCCCCCTTCCGCCTCCTCTTTAAAGAGAATCTTAAATCTCCAATATTCTGCTGAAGACAGCTTCATAAACTCCCACACTCCAAGTGACAGCTCCTCATTTCTTTGAAACCACCTGGACTCGAGTGTGGGAGGTGAAGAGCAGACATGGAGTCCAATAATTCACATACATTCAGTTGTCTGTCTTTCCATAAAAGTGCACTGGAGAGGAATGAAGTGTTCTACAGAAAGATGATCATGGAGGTCATTTTTTAGACTGATTTTTGATGTCAACTGTGAATGAATGCAGTTGACATCATTTAGCATCCATTTAGATGAATGCTAAATCTTAGCATTTCTTGTTTCCCCACTGAATTGATTATCTATCACCTAGCCATCTGTCTCAGGCAGATTTTAATCAAAAACTGGGCCATTGTGAATTTAAATCACCTGACTCGGACTGTTATAGTAGTCGACCATCTCTCCAGCTTTTGTAGAGCATCAGCATGTAAAATGGGCAGGTGTCAGAGGACACAGCTCTGGAGACAGCAAGCAAAGATTCCTGCGGTTATGTTAATATGAAGCTCAGAATGCTGTCCACAGCATGAGCGTCGCAGCCGTCACAAAGCAAGCATTTGTGGTAGAAGTAATTTGCCTAAAGGCAGGTTCCTGTAGAGTTTGAAAGGACTGGAAAATTCTGGAATTGAATTTTACAGATCAGGAAATGCATGGAAAACAATAACACCGGATGGAAAAAAATGTTCTGTCTTTTGAACTCCATATTCTGCGTCCCATTGTCGACATGATATTTATCTAAATTTAAAAAAGAAAACAGAGCAATTAGATAGCTTTTTATCTTCGTCTTTATATATTAAGAAATTCCTGGGCGACACTTTATTTGAATAAGACTGTCATAAACACCTGTCACGAACACGAGTGAGTCTTCATGAATATTTATGACTGTTGTCATAAAGTGCCATTCGGTAAATTGTGACACTTTTAATGCAAAGTTGACACTATTCAAAATGTTTTTGTTACGACAACTTGATATTAACCTTAAAAGGCAAAGATGTCTTTTATGGAAAGATATTTCTGATGTTTGTTAAGACAATTTTGTCGAGGTTAATGTCAAATTGTCATAACAAAGACATTTTGAATAATATCAACTTTGTATTAAAGATGTCATTATTTACCGAATGACAGGTATTATGTCATGTTTATGACGGTGTCATGTCAGTCTTATTCACAACCCGTCAAATAAAATGTCACCAATTCCAGTCATCCATCCATCACACTTTCTAAACTAGTCTTAAAAACACAATATCTGCTAATTAAGTGACATTTTAAGTGGAAAGGAACATATTTTTATTAGAATTTCTACATCTGTAAAAATTCACAGATGCAGATTTTTGGGAGTTTTAGCAGACAGTAAATTTTATGATGTGTTAGTTTTTCTAAATAGCACAACAGATGAACTATGTTTAACATAAAGTTCTGACCCACTTTCTTCTCTGAACTCATAGCAGCTACTAATGGACTTCTGCAAATGGAAGCTGAGCCTGGCACCACCCTTTGCAACATTGTTTGTGTGTACACAAACTTGTATTCAGAAACATATGTTGCACTCTCTCAGGCCATTTTTTACCTTTCGAACTGCCTTAACTCTTTATAAAATGGCCACTTCCAAGTTATGTTTCAGAAACACAGCTTGGAAATTTCATGATGATGTCACACTGTGGGTGCAGATTTGAAAGACGTGCATCGATGATGAGAATCTCCCAGTTCACCACATCCCAAAGTTTGTGGTATGTGAGATTCGGTTCAAGAAAATAGTTTTGAAATGTACATCCATGAGATGTAAGTACACTAGACACGGTGAGCAACATTGCTCAACCGGTTGTAACGTTTGCACAATTCTCAGCAAAAGGCCAAGATTCTCCCAAAAAAATATTCCTCACACCTTTACGCCATTCCATCCTGAATCTTTGATACGAAGCAGAGTGGATCCACAAATTCATTTTATTTTGTGGAGTTTATCAACATACCGTCTGTATATTGGGACAGGCAGCATTGTTTTTGCTCAGCTTGTCTGAACTGTCCCAGTTTCCTCATCTTAGACAACAGGATGGGCTTCAGGTGTAATTGTCTGTTGCTGCAGCTCTTCTGTTTCAAGAAGCAACATGTGTTGGATTCAGAGATTGTACTCCACATTCCTTGGTGGTAACAAAGTGGTTATTTGAGCATCTGTTACCTTTCTGCCACGTCAAATCGTTGTTCTCTGGTTTCAGCAGGACATTTATACCCACACAGCTGCTGCTGCTTACTGAATATCTTCTCTTTTTTGGCCATTCTCTTCAACCTGAGTGATTATTGTGCATAAAAATTTCAGTCGGTCAGTTTCCATAAATACCCAACAAAGCCAATTTGCGACCAACAAGCACGCCACGGTAAAATTCTCTAAATGGGCCATACTAGGAATGAACAGTCAAATTCCATTTCACTTTCTGGTAGAGAAACACCCCCAAAAGACAATACGTTACAGTTTAATAGGTGGGAATACTTTTGCAAAGCACTGTGGGTGTTGAGAAAGCTAATCACTATCCACAACTTCTACTCTTAAGACTCTCTTGATAAGCCAAACTGGATAGAAAGAGAGACGACACGGCTGGTTGTCACTCACAGGATGTGCTCTCAGGTCCTGTTAACAAGCCAATCAAAACACCCTGTAGGAGTCAGCAGAGCACAGCATGCTGATGC